CATATACTAATTATTGCGGTCGTTATGCGAATTCTTAGAACAAATAGTGCATTTAACTAAAATTGATTCACATAGAGATATGTGGTCGAATTAGTTAAATAAACTAAATAAAAACTTGAGAGGGATAAATCGAATGGAATAGAAGAATTCGATCAAACACTATATTAGATTAGTGAACCTTAAATTAAGGCTTAAAGGTGATCAATAAATGAAATTGTTATGCCATAATATTCATTCAATATTTGAATTCTAAATCAGTCTTTATGTGCATTCTGCTGTTTTCACGTAATTAAATCAAAAATCACAACAAATCACAATTCTTGTTTGTATTCTTCAAATAGGAGTTAGAAACAGCATACTAAGTATTGAAATATAGTCCTCGTGAAAATAATAACTCCAGAATCAAAGGTTTACTATATTACTTGTTACGATATCATACACTTTTGATAAAAAAAAGGCAACAATGGCATCACTTAACTAATATTTCATCTCCAATCAATCGACAACGTTCTTTCTTTTTTTTCTTTTTTTTAACTCCTCGACTCTAAATTCAATTCATCTACCCCATTTCGTTTGTATTCCGCCCTTCAAATTGTGCCTCTTCGAAACAATAAGACTACATTTGAGTAGGCATGCCAAGATTAGTCTCCAAGTGATGTATGTTCTCTCCCTTATCTTTGAAATGACAACTACCCTTCGTCCCATGAAAACTATATGGAAAGCATGAGAGATTGTCCAGTTATCATTATGTAGAAAACCAATTGTTACTTATTGAGGAATAAACAAGATGACAAGAAATGTAAAAAAGGAAAATTGACAAAAAAGAAATAATTTACAAGATATGACTCTTTCTTCCCGACCCATTTGACTCTCTGACCGCAATTATTTAGATGGTATTCCGAGATTGAAGAGATTAAATTCCTCCAATAGGCACAAGGAAAGAGCAATAGGCCGGACCAGCCTCTCGAAAACCTATATATGTGCTTTGATGGCATTAAGAGTGTCAAGGCTTTGAGATATAATTCACTCCCATGATTCTGCACCATTTTAAACCTAAAGAAGCATTATTAGGTGATATGACACTTCTAAATCGGCAAAATATTTCAAAATCCTATTGATAATGCCATCTTACACAGTTTTTCCATTGATTCATTTCAGAACTCAGTAGTCTGTCTTCCCACATGAGAAGAATAGAGGTTTCCAAAACTACAACTTCAAAATCATAACAAGCAAATGACGAGCAAGTTACACGTCCTAATAGACAAAGAATAGGGAAATGATCCAATATCTAAATTTCATATACTTCTAGACAAATTAATTTTAAGGAATTTGACCCCAAAGTGATTTATGAGTGCACATAAGTATCCTTCTCTCCTTCTAACATATTTGCTAAGCTAATGCACTATTACTAAGTAGCTTTCATTCTTTTGCTACTGTCAATCTGTAATTGCATTTTCTTCTTATACTTGCTGCCTCATTTAGTAGTCAATTTTCTTAATTTAATTCTTATCTAACTCAATCATGATCAGGCATCAAAAAGCAAATAAAACCAACCAAAGTGCTTAAAAGTTACTTTTATAGAAAATTAGAATAGACTTACTTTCTAGAAAAGTAAGTTTTGAAATTTTAAAAAAAAAAAAATGACAGTTAAAAGATTTTGTATGGCAAAGTAACTAACTTAAAAGTAAATTTGATTTCCTTTTAGGTACGGCAAAACATTCACTAAATGATCTCTTTTAGTAGTATGCTAATAGAATAACACAATGAGCTGAATCCTGATCTAATTTATAGCCTTGAAACCTATACTAAAATTCCTATAATTTTAGTAGAGTACAGGAATTGTAATACTTTCTACCTATCGAGGTATGATGAAAGACGAAGAGGCTCAACTCAAATGAACCGGTGGAGACATTTTGTGTTATGTATGGTAATCCTTTTAATATCCAAATTGGATTCGAAACTTCTTCCTATTTGTATGACTTGACTCAAATGACTTCCAAATTATTAAGGTTTGGATTCAATTTCAGGTGGTTATCCCAAATACAGGTATCTGACAAGAACAACACAGTTTGAACAAAAGCTAACCAAGGATCTCAACCAAGTATCAAACACATACTACAACTTTTAGCAAATTTTACAACCATCAGAACTATTACGAAAAGTCTTCTTCGACAACCCATAAATCCGAAACACATAATTGTGTATTTAATAATGCAGAATCCAAATCCCTTACTATTGTAGGTAGATGCCACCAATATTTAGTCAAATTCACATACAAAAATGTTTTCAGTTTCATCACCAGATTACAACTATTTCCTTCGAACAAAACTTCCAAGTTAGAAATTATATCAATCAAAGTTTGCATACAAATGAAACTTTTAATTCCATCCATATAGTTCCAAGCAATCAACAGTGAACACACAATTTTCCGTGTAATCAAAGCCAACAAAAAAAGAAATAATATTCATACAGAAATAAAATAGATCCCGAGATTTTGAAATAAACAGAAGCCAGAAACAAAGAAAAAGAATTTCAGTATCTTCGCCAAATATAGGTAATAATCCTGTAATTCACTTGGAACATAGAAGAGTAACAACCACAATCTTCAGCTAAAATACGTCCTTATTCGTCAAACATTTACTAGTAAAAACTACTAACAACAAAAATACTTTTGACTAATGGACTTATCTGAGATCCCCAAATCTCCAATCCAACATAGCCATCCAATCCGGTTCAAAATCAATCCTGGGCCTTGAGCTTCTCAACACGCTTATTCAACTGTTCAATCTTAACCACAAGGCCCGTGACGGAATAAAGAAGCCAGTAAAACAGCAACGCAGATGCGATTAACAGGGCATTACGCTGTGACTTCATGATGGATTTCTGGTGGCGGAGATGTTCAGATGGGGAGCAAGAATCGGACTCGCAACTGGGTCGATGCTCGTACTTCCAGTAAATATCCATTAAGAGAAAGAG